TATTATTGATTTGTTTTTAGTTCTTCTGTGACCTGAGGTCACAGAGGAACTATTGGGATGATACAGATGTGAAATGTGTGTGTGTGTGTGCGTGTGTGCGTATGTATTTACCTTCAATCGTGGACGCCATTTTGATTACACACCTTCGTATCGTGGACAGCTCATGAACCGTGGACGTCCACGGTTCCAAAACTGCTTTTAAACGCTTTCTAGCGGCTAGTTGGCGCTCTCTATCAATTTCTGATGATGATTGTCCACTATCCGTCGATTTTGAACATTTCAAGGTGTTACAACCAGTGCTGTATGTTATTATGGAACGCCAAAAGGACAAATTACAAGTGGCGCAGTGCAAAGGTCAGTCGCAGTGCAAAAGTCAAGTGGCACAGTGCAAAAGTTAAGTGGCACAGTGCAAAAGTCAAGTGGCGCAGTGCAAAAGTCAAGTAGCGGCACACGCATTTGGATTTACACTGCGCCACTTTTGGTTTTGCACTGCGCCACTCGACTTTTGCTCTGTGCCACTTTAGTTTTGCACTGCGCCACTTGTGGTTTGTCCTTTTGGCGTTCTATACTATCCAAGAGAACATTTTTGATTGTCAGCGCCATTACTGGGTGGCATCAGGGTTGCCATTTGGCCTTTTCATTCATTTAAATTGTTCGGATGAAATATATATATATATATATATAAGATGTGTATAAGAGACAGGTGTGTGTATAATTTAGGCCTATATGAAGTTTATACTCGTTTTAGCTTTATGAGGACAGTTCAATGCAAGTTTGTACCATATAGGGCCTATTGTGTGTCTTTGTATATGTACCATCCTAGTGGAGGTTCTATCTCTTTAGAATCTCTTTTGAATATTAAATACTGTAGGCCTACGTTAATTAATTTATTATTGCCCACTTGAATTGTATAGGACTAGGTCTGTGGTGTTCTGTAGAGCGCCATATAAATGCTCGATGACGTGATCATTCTCGTCCGATGGCCACCTCCAATTTCAAGCAAGCGTCGCAGATTCTTCGGTTACTCTGGAGTTAGGTTGTGAGAATGAAGAAGATAATTCTGATAGCAACATTGATTTATTGCTTTAAGTACTGCGACAATAACATTCAGAGGTGAATTTAGAAAGTTTACATAGAAAAAGTATTTACTAAGTTTTTCATAGGTTTGTTTTAACGCCAGTTTGTGTTACCTAATGTAACTTTCATTGTAATTAAAGAGAGCCATGGATTTGCCAATAAAAGGCCCTTAAAAGTTTTGCTATAGCATAATTACCAACCTGAGAGATTTGAAATACGTGAGTAACTACACCATTTGGCTGGGGGGAGGGAGGTCGGGGTCCATAGGCGGAGCCCCGCTGGGGTCGAGGGGGCGTGGTCCCAGGCGCTCTGACGATCTGAGCATAAGCAGAAATATTTTGAGTTTCAATGTAATTGAGCACGAACTATGTTGACCTAAATATTTCAATAATAAATTTTTAGTAACCCGTCAGTGAAATAAATATTCACGTAAATACTAAGTACTCTCTAATGACTCAGGTTAGTGCACGATCGTTTAAGTTTTTTTTTTAATAAAACCAATTTCTTTAATTTTAAATACATTTTCACCTGAATTTATGATAATTCGTTATCACGCATAGATTTGTGCTAATGCATGACAAATTATGGATCACGCATGTGTTTCTGCAAAATGCGTGTTTCATCCAATATCACTTTGAAATGCGGGACCGTCCCGCGATGCGAGACAGTTGGTAACTATGCTATAGATCGATATCTCGATCGGCCCCACAATTTCGCCCTTTCCCACCCCCGCCTTTTTTTTTCGGCTCCGACCCTCTCCATTTCGGACATCTCTGGATTCGCCCTGAATTGGCCTACATGCCAGCAACTAAAGAACATAGGCTATTTAATATTATGATGTAGTTGGGCATGTATTTTATGGTAATAAAAGAAGAAAAACAGTGGAAGTTTAACATTGTTCTGTGTATATCATTTGAATTTCTTCAATTTCAAACGAATGACCGTTGATTTTCGTGTAATTTTTGTAGTATTTCAAATAAATATGTACCCACTGTAGTTGTCTTCTAATCGGATTAAAATCTGGCCGAATTTTGGCCGATATCGAAAAAAAGTTTGGCCGTATTTGCCGTGGGATGGCGTGTGTTTGGCCGTGAAGCCTGTCGACTATCTGGCAACCCTGGGTGACATTTTGCGAAGTTGGGTACCGCGAAGTTTAGAGATGCAATGCGGAGTTTAGTTTTCAAGGAAGTAGTTTTTTTTTTCGACAGTAGCAGCTGCATAATGTCGTCAGTCTTCAACCTATATTTTATCACAATCCAAGATAAGTATATTTCGTTTATTTAAGACAGAATATTAATAAAGATAGGAATTAGGGGCCTCGATAGATCGTATACTGTATATGTTACGTTAGGCCTAGCTAGTCTGTAGGGTACACCGGGTCCCAGACTTCTACTAGGCCTAGGCCGTCTAAAGTAGCTAGGTATCTAGCCTATGGTAGGCTAGCTAATCGGATAACACTCAGTGTAACATTAACAAGAAAGAGGGCCAACGACAGCGTAGCAGATAACAAATTTACACTGGCCTAGATTCTGTAGTATGCTACTGAATAACATGACATCTAGAGAGGGCCTAGGACTATTACTACTAGCCCTTGGAACTTTATTGATTGAATTTCTCACTGTAAAACCACCCTAAAAAAGTGGTGCAAGAGGCTGGTGTATGCCAGTGTATGACCTTTATAATCCCCTTTTGTATTCTCAAACTGTACTTTAAAATTTAACAATTTTTCTGAACCATTTGATGGAATAAATATTTGTTGTATGAGGAAAAATGATGATTATAATTACTGTACTATTTTATTAAGTAATAATTCTAAATGGGCAATTCCGTAAAATAGTAAACCAAACGGTAAAAAATTAAAATACATCAAATGTGTATGTGTTATACATCATTTTGAAGCTAATGAGTTATGTTTTTGTGAAATAAAAAAAAATTAAGAATTCACTAACCACATGGAAAATAATTGAAATTCAATATAATTAAATAATATTTTAAAATACTAAAGAAAATGTAGTTATAAATTTAATTTCCAATTTTTTCCCTTGCAAAATATCAGAATCTGATTCACTTTTAATTAAAATAAAGAATTAATATGTATTGTGTAATTTGGTGAAATTGTTTGACTTTTTGTAATTAACGCCATATTTTTAATTAAATATTTAAAAATAATGAAAATATGGATATATTCTGGTATATATTCTGGTATATTTTATTAAATCATCATGGCATAGTAAAATGAATTGAGATGATTATTGCAAAAGTAGAAATTAAGCAAGTATACAATTCAAACAAATTACATTATTACTACATTATTGTAAATATTATTAATACAAAGAATAAAGAATACAAACATTATAAAACATCAATTGCACTTACGAAAACATTAAGTTATTAAACTACAGTACATATTACAAATATTGAAGAATATCTATTACACTTACGGAAAACATTAAAATATTAAACTGCAGTAAGATGGTTTATTAAAAAGTTCAAGATGAAAAAGGGAAACACTTCAACATTTTAAAATCTTCTTCTTTCGGCTTCTCCCTTCAGGGGTCGCCACAGCAAACAAGTCGTCTCCACTTCGTCATGTTCATCACATTCTCCTCATTTACACCTAGTTCCTTCATGTCCTCCTTATCACGTCCATATACCTCCTCTAAGGTCTTCCTCTTTTTCTCCTACCTGGTAGCTCCATTTCCAACATCCTCCTTCCAATGTACTCCATGTCTCTTCTGCTTACATGGCCATACCATTTCAGCCTCACCTCTCTCAACCTGTCCCCAAATCGCCTTACATTAGCAGATCCTCTAATGAAATCATTTCTGATCTTATCCTTTCTTATTACACCAAGGGAGAAGCGTAGCATCTTCAATTCTGCAACCTCCATCTCCTCCTCCTGTCTTTTGGTTAGAGCCACTGTCTCCAAACCTCACGACATAGCTGGTCCTACCACTGTTTTGTAGATTTTCCCTTTCATTTTCGCCGACACCCTTCTATCACAGATTACACCAGTTACTATTCTCCACCCATTGCAGCCTGCCTGCACTCGCTTTTTGACCTCCTTGTAACACCCGACATTGGTCTAAACAGTTGATCCCAAGTACTTAAACTCCTCCACTTATTCAATCTGGTTTCCTTGCAGGGTCACCATTTCTCTCTGATCTCCTTCATTTACGCACATATACTCAGTATTTCTCCTACTGACCTTCATTCCCCTTTTTTCCAAGGCATATCTCCAATTTTTCAAACTCTCTTCAACCTGTACACGTCTCTCTGCACATTTAACTATATCATCTGCAAACAACATAGTCCATGGGGCCTCCTGTCTTATCTCATCTGTTAATCTATCCATCACAACTAAAAACAAGGGAGGGCTCGGTGTCGAGCCTTGGTGTAGACCCACCTAAACTGAAAACCCTCCGTTGTTCCTATGGCACATCTCACTACTGTGGTGCTACCTTGATACATGTCCTGAACAAGCGTCACCTATTTCTCTGCTACTCCTGACTTTCTCATGCAATACCACAGCTCCTCTCTTAGTACCCTATCATAAGCTTTTTCTAAGTCAACAAACACACAGTGCAGCTCCTTCTGACCTTCCCTATATTTTTCTATCAGCATTCTTAATGCAAACGTTGCGTCGGTGGTGCTTCTACCAGGCATAAAGCCAAATTGCTGATCGCAAATCCTTACTGCTCCTCTGAGCCTGGCTTCCACTACTCTTTCCCACAGTTTCATACTATGACTGAGCAGTTTTATGCCTCTGTAGTTATTGCAGTCTTGTGCATCACCCTTGTTTTTAAAAACGGGCACAATAATGCTCTTTTCCCACTCATCAGGCAGTTTCCCACTGTCCAAGATTTTATTAAACAGATTTGCCAGAAGCTTTACCGCAAACTCTCCAAAACACTTCCATGCCTCTACCGGTGTATCATCAGGACCATCAAAGCTTCTCTCACTTCATACTCGCTAATTTGTGGTATATGATGATCTACTACATCTACCTCTTCCGCCCGTTGCTCCCTTTCGTTTTCCTCATTCATCAACCTTTCAAAGTATTCCTTCCATCTTTTCAGTACACTCACCTGGTCTGTCAACACATTTCCATTTACATTCTTAATAGTCCGTACTTGTTGCACATCCTTTGCAGCACGGTCCCTTTGTTTTGCAAGTCGGTACAAGTCCTTCTCCTCTTCCTTTGTATTTAACCGTTCATACAACTCCTCGTATGCATTTTCCTTTGCTTTTGCCACCGCTCTTTTTGTCTCACGTCTTGCTTCCTTATATATCATTTTGCTTTCCTCATCCCTTAGGTAATCCCAGTTCTTTTTCGCCAGCGTCTTCCTTTTTATGCTGTCCTGTACTTCAACATTCCACCACCAGGTTTCCATGTCTTTCTTCCTCTGTCTAGAGGATACACCTAGCACTATGCTAGCTGCACTCCTTACCACGTTTGTGACAGTTTTCCAATTTTCTACATCATCAATTTAATCGAGTGCCTCTTTTACTTTGCCCATGAAATTTGTGGTACATTCCTTTTATTTCAACCTCCACCATTTGATCCTAGGTTGAGCCTGCATTTGCTTACGTACTTTAGCTATTAGTGTCATGCTACAAACCACTATTCGGTGTTGTTTTACAACACTCTCCCCTGGGATCACTTTACAGTCTTTAATCTCCTTTACGTTACACCTTCTGTATAAGATGTAATCCACTTGTGTTGACCTCCCTCCACTCTTATATGTCACCCTGTGCTCCATTTTCTTTTCAAAAAATGTATTTACTACAGCGAAATCCATCCGTTTTGCAAAATCCACTATCATCTGCCCTTCTTCATTTATGTCCTTCACCCCATGTCTACCCATCACATCTTCGTCCCCTCTGTTCCCTTGTCTAACATGGCCATTGAAATCTGCACCAATCATCACTCTTTCTTCCATGGGTATACTTTCCAACAATTCATCTACTTCAGTCCAGAAATCTTCTTTCACTTGCCTCTCGCACCCCACATGGGGGCGTATGCACTGATTACATTTATCAGCACCCCTTCTATTTCCAGCTTCATGCTCATTAGTATGTCCGACACTCTGTTTACTTCCAAGACACTTTCAACGAAGTCTTTCTTCAAAATCACCCCTACACCATTTCTTTTTCCGTCTACACCATGATAGAACAGTTTAAAACCACTACCGATGTTTCTCGCCTTACTTCCTTTTCATTTTGTCTCTTGTACACACAGTACATCTACCTTTCTCCTTTCCATCAAATCAGCAAGTTCTCTCCTCTCGCCAGTCATGCTACCAACATTTAAATTTCCAACTCTGACAGTAACCTTTCTTCCCTTTCTTTTCTCCCGCACTCTCCTTACACGTCTTCCTCCTCTTCTTGTTCTTTTTTCCAACAGTAACATAGTTTCCACTGGTACCCTGTTGGCTTTCAGCGCCAGTGGCGGTCGTTGGTAACCCGGGCCTCGACCGATCCAGTATGAAGTTTCTTTGATGATTTGTCTGCATAAATGATTTGGCAAAAAGTTTTTACGCCGGATGTCCTTCCTGCCGCAACCTCCTCTTTTATCCGGGCTTGAGACCGGCACTGAAGGCACTGGCTTGTGCCCCCAGTGGCAGAGTTACTTCAAAATTTTAAAATACATTTCTTTAATTCAGATTCAGAAAAAAAAAATTCTCTTTCCCTTCCCTCCCCCCCTTTTTTTTCCATGTATTTAGATGAAATTACTGATTCACAAGAAAATGACATTTGTTTATTTCCTTTTCTAACCAGGTACAAAGAAATTACCAAAACTCAGTTATAAAGCATATTAGATATACCAAGTTTATACAGCAAATTGGAAGCCTACCATTAATTACACTAATTAGCAAAACCATGTGACAGACGTACATTTTTTCTGTACGTCCGTCGCGCTGTGTAAAATGTGTTATAACCTATGAAATATAGTGAAAATTTTAAAACTGTCAATGTTTCATATGTCTGTAGTTACAGTAGGCTACATGTTGTGGTTGTGCACGAAACATAATACAACATGGACAATTCTTGGCATGAGCCCCATACATAGTTTCTGGTCGAGATCAATTTAGGCTTACTATAATTTTCCTCCCTGAAGTACATTTTTGTCTTATTGTTATCAAACAGTGTGCAATATACACATATTGTCAGTACCATGGGCTTATATTACAAACAAAAAACAATTTTTGACTAAAATTTTAAGCAAATATCCAATAAAAACCAGGCAGGCAATACACAAATTATCACAATGTTATCATCTTGACTAACACAGCTACTCTACCTACTTCATCATAACAATGTTCTGTAATTACAATTACAGCTAAGATGATTTAAATATTGTTTTTTTTATATTCAAATTACAGGATATTATTATAAATGTAAGATAAGACACCTTATTTAGCATGAGTAACCATACAGTTATCTTGATTAACTACAATTACTTTGATTTTTCTTGTATTGAAAAAAAGTAGCTCGTGTTTATAATAATCTCTAATTGCAGAACCTTTAAAATCTAAACTTGCCCATTGCAGGATTCCTTATAAATGAAGAAGTTGACACCAAAAGCTAGAACTTGGCTTAATAGATCTAGTACAGTACAGTATGTAGTCTTTCATTAGTTTAACTGTCTGCATTTATAATTAATTAACAAAGTGCATTTTGGGGACCAAATAATCATTTTTCCTGGTTACAAGTTTAGATCCAACTCCTTTATAATCTGTTTACATGAATGTTCTGAACAAATTGACCCCACAATCAACAGCCTACACCAGTGGTTATGTAGATATGAGAACCTGCGAATATGACCCGGAGATGTGTCAAAGGTCAGAAATGGTATGTCCGGTCATTTTTTAACAAAATATTCTATTTATATAGCAAATATAAATATAAATGTTTTGAACAACTTAGCACCATACTTAACTCTCTACCACATGTGGTTGCGAAGATATAAGGGCCCTATTACTATGATTTTTGACTTTTGACATTTTGCCACATTTTAAATGTTACCAAGCCACCCTGAACCAATTTAAGAGGTCAATATTCTCTTTATCTCAAATGCATACAAAACATGGTCTGGTTACTAGCGTAATGAGGTTAACTGAGGATTATTTGACACAAAATAACCTAAATTATTTTATTCATTATATTTTACACTCATTATTTAAAAAAAAATTTAAAATCCAGTATATTTTGGTACTTTTATATCATATAAGCATACCAGTATATTAATTAATTAATAAAGTAATTTAGATTGTAGATTTTTTTTGTATTTTTAGATGTGTACGTCCGTCACAATTCAGACAAGTACGTCTGTCACGATAAAATTGTACGTCCGTCACAGTAAATTTATGGTGTTTTCATAGAGAAAATGAAAAAAAATTTAATTCAATTTTTATTCTGCTAGAAAGCCCACACATTAGTGGAAAACAACAGGGAAATATTTTTTTTCAAATGTCTCACACATCACAGAGCTTTAAATAAAAATATAGTGACGTAGGAAAAGTCACTTTCTCTGATTACGTCCGTCTCGGGGTCATTTTGACAAGTATCTCCGTGACGCATGCAAGTTAAAAAATGAAAATTGTTGGCCTAATAGTACTAACCAGTAGATGTAATGCAAACTTTAAAAAAAAAAATTGCAAGCTTCATTATGAAAATAAAGATTCACAAAATGTCTGAATTGTACGGCCGAATTTATGGAATTGGCCAAATGTTTAAATATGGTTTGTTTTACAGCTTTGTTCTACTTTATTTCATTGACAGAGCTCAGACATCAATGATGACCTCATCAGCATGGGATATGATAATGTAAGTTTAATATCAAAAGCTTATTTTGCCTGTTTGACTTTTTGCTGTGAATATGTTAATTCTAATAACCAAACATTTTAACTCAATCCCACAGATTTTAAAAAATAATTTTCTGTTTAAAAGTTGCTCTTTGTTTCCTAGTTACTGTAGTTAGTTTTTTTTGTTTTGTTTTAATAATATATGTATCCAAATGTTGTACAGTATGCATGACCTACTGAAAGCAGACACAAAACACTACCAGATTATTGTGGTTCAGTTACTCTAATGGGATGTTGCTGTAGAGTGCTAATAATTTAGGACATTAGTATAATATGGCTATCAAGAAATCATTATTGTCTATTTATTATTTACAGAAACCATTATACCCTGGCAGACCTGGTCCCTAAAAGGAAAGTTGTAAATGCAGTTGGTTAAATGAAAGAACACCCAGAAACCTCTGTTGATATCAACCATGTTTATATTTGGAACAGAATATTGAACTGTAAACCAAAAAGATGGCTGTGTTAAGTGTTACGATCCTACTATCACTAATCGTACTTAGGATTGTGTTTATAAGCTTTGCTGCAAATCTACACTGATGCCAGTCCTGAAATTACAGCCCATGATATTAATGAAAATATTTAAACATTTTACATCAGCTTATCAAAAAGAAGTAAGTCTGTACATTATTTAGGGAATTTAAACACGCGAAGTGTCTTGTCCAAGAACCAAGACAATGTACACAGCATGTGTCCTTGTACGAGACACTAGATCTTGGCTTGTATCTCTCTCTCTATCCAGGTGTATAAAGCAATATAAATGATGTTCTTATAGTTAAACAATGTTAATAAAGTGTTTTTCATTGCTTTCGATATGCATTTGGTTGACTGTAATTTGTAATAATTGTTGTACTGGAGATATTCTGTGAAACATCATTTACAGTAAATGGTAAATACTGATAGTAGCTTAATATTGGTTAAACTTTTACATTTAGACTCAAATGTTTCCCTGCTAAGTGATGTTACAGCAGATCACACTCAACTAATTCACTTAATTTAGTACAGTATTAATTTTAAAGGCATGTTAATATCATACACAAATGATAACCAAATTGGAACACTGTCTAACATTACACAACAATGTCATCATCACTATTGATAAATAACATCACGACTTTCAAATTGATCAGTTTGCCTTTTTATTCACGTGATTAGCGTCAATAATGATAAGCTCTTTTGTTTTGTTTTACTATGTGTATTGAGGGTCCCTAATGATCAGCTTCGGCTGGAGGGACAAGATTGCTGAAATAAATAAATAATAAATGTTATAACAATGCTGAAATAATAATGTTTACAATACATTTACACTAATTCTGTTAAAATATCTAACATTGTAGGAAAAGCCTACTTAAGCTTCATCAAAAACAATCAATTTGTCCATCTTTATTGAATAGCGAAGAGCTGTGATGAGTAGAAACATGCAGTTCATATATTAAAGGATAGTCTTGCAAAATGGCTACAGCATTAACCTTAAGAGTGGATTTCAGAGGCAATACATTCACATTTCATCCAGTAATTGTTGTGTGTTTAACAGTTATTTCAACATTGCGATAGTTGCTAATAGCCTGCGAGCAGTGTACACTGCCTTTTAGATTGTACTTCCATCAAACTTATACTCAATCATGCAAATCCCTCCAGAAATGTGGTAATTTTGGCCTTCCATTGTGCTTCGATAGTTTACATTTGGTTGTTCATCACAAGCTGGTGTATTATTGAAATACAGTAGTTGACATAACTGGGAAAAAAATGTTTATCATTAACATTGAGGGGTATATACCCACTCATATGGACGCAGGGTGACCTCGAATATCACAAAAGAACAAAGCGGCTGCAGATAACTTCAAAAGGAAGAATATAACTGTTAATCTAAGGCCATATTTGTGAAATATGGCGAAAAATAAGCCAAAAGATAACTTCAAAGTCATTAAACGACACTTCAGAAATCGGGAATCTCATTTCCCGCCATTTAGAAATCAACATTCTTGCCGGGGAGAATCCGAACCCCGCTTTCCCGTTGGAGTTTATTGATTCATGGAATCGTTTTAAAAAAGGGAAATCCTTGAATTTTGAAGAACTTAAAAGTCATAGAAAAACACCTCAGAAGTCAGGAAAGCTAATTTTCTGCCATCTAGGAATCAACATAATCCCGAGGGAGAACCTACACCCCCCCCCCCTCCTTTCTCTTTGGAGTTTATCGATTCATGGGGAAAAGAACATGTATGCAACTATTCTTTTTTTAGTTCCTATGCATGCAATGCAATAGGAACTATTGTAATCACTCTTCTTTTTCCTTTGTTTCTTATTGTGTGTAGTATGTGTGTGCGTGTGTGTGTGTGTGTGTAGACATTTATGCAAATGCGCATGCGTCAAAGTAAAATTTTCCGATATTTTGTTTTACCACGCGATGCGAGTTCGATGGAAAGTTTCTGCAGAGTTCAGTCAGGGCTCACGCTAACCGATCGGCAAGTCGGCATGGATGAAACTATTTTGGTTTTACGGCAAAAAAAAAATCAACTGCTGTGGCATAGGTATTTTGAGGAAGGCC